CTGACATCTATTAACAGGAATTTGATTTGTAAGACACTGGAGGTAATTGTCCTGCTCTAGTCAGCACCGCGTGAGGCCTCAGCTGGAGTACTGTGTCCATTTCTCAGTGTCGCACTTTAGGAAATATGTGGAGAAATTCAAGGTATTGCTCAGGTGTGCAATAAAAATCATGAAAGGATTAGAGAACCTAACCCAAAAGGAAAGGTTGAAAAAAGCTGGCATGTTTAGTTTTGAGAAAAGAAGACTTAAGGGGCACCTGAAAACACTCTTCATATATGTTAAGGGCAGTTCTTAAGAGGACAGTGATTGTTCTCTGTGTCCACTGAAGGTAGGAGAACAAGTAATCATAGAAATGTAGGACTGGAAGACTCCGCAAAGGTCATCTAGTTCAAGGACTAAGTATTAGGTAAGCAATCCCCAACCTGTTCTTAAAAACCTCCAATAACGGAGATCCCACAACTATCCTAAGTAATTTGTTCCAGTGCTTAACTACCCTTACAGTTAGGAAGTTACTACTAATGTCTAACCTAAATCTCCCTTGCTGCAATTCAAGCTCATTACCAAGAGGTAATATCCTGTCCTCAGTGGATAAGGAGAACAATTAAGCATCCTCCTCTTTATAACAAGCTTTTATGTACTTGCAGACTGTCATCATGACCCCCTTCAGGATTCCCTTTTCTAGACTAAACAAACCCAATTTTCTTAGTCTTTCCTTATAGGTCATTTTTCCAGACCTGTAATCGTTTTTGATTTTGCTCTCCTCTGCACTTTCTCCAATATGTGCATATCTTTTCTGAAGTGTATTTTGTCCAGAACTGGAAACAGTATTCCAGTTGAGGCCTTATCAGTGCTGGGCAGAGTGGTAGAATGACTTCTTGTGTCTTGCTTACAGCACGCCTGCTTATACATGGGAGAATGCTGTTCATATTTTTTGCAACAGTATTAAATTGTTGAGTCCTATTTAGTTTGTAATCCACTACCACCCCCAGATCCTTTTCCACAATACTCCTTAGGCAGTCCTTTCCCATTTTATATTTGTGCAGTTGATTATTTCCTCTTAAGTGTATTACTTTGCATTTATCCTTATTGCATTTCATTCCATTAATTTCCCATCATTTTCCCAGTTTGCCAGGATCATTCTGAATTCTAATGTTGTCCTCCAAAGTGTTTGCAGCCCCTCCCAGTTTGGTGTTCTCTATGCCATTATTGAAACTCATGACCAGGGTCCCAGGGGTACCATGCTGAGATTGCTCACTTAGTGCAAGCTGCAAAGAATGGGGCAGACAATCCCCAAAGCTGGTGGTTATTCTGATACTTAGATGTACCATGCCAGCAACAAAACAGCTTCTACACTACCTTACTAGATACCCAGAAGCAAAAAACAGTTCCCTTAAAACAACCCAGCCTTGGGCTTCCTCCCAGACGGTCAAGTCAAATATGATGAGGATTACTGAAAATCTTGTTCATCATACAAGAAAGTTCTACCGATCCCAAAAGTTTGTAAGAACAGGTTGGGGATAGGGGATGGCTTACATAATACTTAGTCCTTGGACTAGATTTTAAGACATCTTCACAAATTATCACTAATGACTCAGAGATATCTTCCACCAGGTCCTTAATGAGCTTACTTTGCAGTTTCTGTTAGATATTAGGAAAAACTTTCTAACTGCAAGGATATTTATGCTCTGGAATAGGCTTCCAAGGGATGTTGTGGATTCCCCATCGTTGGAAGTTTTAAAAAAAACAGGTTGGACAAACACCTATGAGGGATGGTCTAGGTTTGCTTGATCCCGTCATAGCACAGAGAGCTGGGCTTGAAAAATTCTTAAGCTCCCTTCCAGCCCTTCCCTTCTATTGTTCTGAGCTTTCTTCCATGATGCTTCTTGCTCTTTGGAGGAACTCCCCATAAACATCCCAAGACCTACCTGGTTAGCCCTCTTCCCATCCCTCCATACAACTCCCCAGTTCAATGAAGCTTTCAAACACATGACAGTGGTTAGGTGGGTTGTGTGCTAAGACCACTATCTATCAGGATGACAAATGTTGTCTTATTGTTTCCTTGTGCTTCCCCTGTCACTATTCATGGCCATTGCACCTGTATTCCCCCTCTGTGGTCCAGCAAGGGCTCCCACTCTCAGGCTGCCCAGACGTCACCTCTCTTGGGTAGAAACCCACATCTCTCTCTCTCCTGACTGGGGTATCTCCAGGCTGCACAGCTCCCTGCCTACCCTGTGAATTGCCCAGCAAGGCAGATCCTCTCAGCAGACCTGCTTTGCCTTCCTTCCTCAGAGGCTATGAACAGCCTAACTGGCCCCAGTTAAGTTACCAGACCGCCCTTTCCCAGCAAACAGGGATTCTCAAGGTAAAAGCATTACAGAAAGAACATACTAAAAACAATAAAAGAACCTATACACATGCTAATAAGCTTACCTGAGAGCACCCCAACCCCAACAAGGGCTCAGGCAGGTGAACAGACCTTCAGACCCCACCAAGAGTTTTTTCTGTGGTTGTTAGCTCAGAACAAGCATGCCTATGCATGTGCGCATACCCTTTTATCTAGTTTGGGCCTCTGAACTTTACTCCTGGGGGAATTCTGCACCATTGTATGTGCACAGAATTAATGTGCCGCACAGAATTTTTTTCTCTGTAGAAAATACATTCTGCCAGAGATGTGCTGCAGTTATACCTTTCACCCACTAGGGGCTGATGTGGTGCCAGTAAAGAGAGCAGTTGCTCTTGGGCACAAGCGGTTCCAGTTGGAGATAGGGAAGAGGAGCGTCTAGGGTCCTCATAGTACCATACCCATGGAGCCAGGTCAGGAGGCACAGAATATGGGGGATGGACAGTGTGGGGCACATGGGGCTGCTGGGGAATCACAGACTGGGGTTCAAGAACTAGTGCGGGGACAGCCTAAGTTAAGGGTTGGGGGTGTAGGGACACATGGGGAGGGGAGTGGCTTATTGGGGGTGCAGGACCACATGGGGAGCGGGGCAGGGACACCTGAGTGAGGGGGTTGTTGAGTGGGAGTGTGGCACCACATGGGGGCAGTGCGGAGAGGGTGCAGGGACACATGGGGACATATGTAGATGTGTCTGAATGAGAGAGACTAGGGGTCAGCCAGGCTTTGTATGGGGAAGGATCCTTAACAATCCCTCTCGCCCCCTCCCGCCACCCAAAAGTCTGTTCCATACTTCTCCCACCACACCAAACAACTCTCGAGGTTCGCACCCAGGCCCCTTCCCAGCACTTTCCTCTTCCTCATCTCCATTACCCCTGACTCCCACAAGCTTTTGCACTGCTTCTGAGGGATGCGGGAAATACATTTCTGTATTGTAGTTTAAATGAATTATTACTCAGAGTTCTGTATTAATATTCCTTGTAATTAATCTATTTGTCAAAAAACATTCCCTGAATCTGTTTTGTTGTCTGTATTGTTACAGACATATTTGCTGACAGGTATGTTGAAATAAATTACCCAAATAATTGAAAATGGCATGATTATATTGCGTTATTTTGACAACTAAAATATATAGAATTTTACGTAATTTTAAAATATGGGCAGAAATTTTAATTTTTGGTGCAGAATTACCCCAGGAGTAGAACTTGTGTTCACAGCTTCCATAGGTTTGGGGTGGAGGTGAGATGTTGCCTTCTCCTTCTTCCAAGTATTTCCTGGGAATCCCATTTACCTTTGTCTAGCATGTTGTTTCAAAGAATCTTTGGAAGTTCATAAGATTTCCTAGGGTTTATGTTAGCCAGGTCTCCTCCCCGGAGACATTAAAGACCATCCCACGGTAATACGTACACACTCATATTTTTAATCAAATAAACTCCAAGGATACTGAGAACTTAATTCAGTAAGGTTTGACTTCATTCAATAAGGATGGTCCAGGCTATCACAGGAAACTGCCATCTCTGTTACGCCCATGTCTGTCTGTATCCATCTTTCTCTTCTCTCATTCTTAGATTGTCAGATCTTTAGTGAAAAGACCATTTTTTTGTTTATAGAGTGTCCAGCAGAATGGGATCCTAGTCCATGAATAGCACAACTAGGTGCTATGGTAACAGGAATAGTAAATGATAATAATGGGGAGGTTCTGGGCAAAGGGAGGGAGGGTGTTAGAGAGCAGGGAGAGGAAGGTTTGGGGCAAAGATCTCCTATGAGTTGGGAGGGCTGGGGGCAGTGGTAAGGGGTGGTGATGCCATGGAACAGCTGCTGTAGTGAGTTAGGAAGCTGTGGAGGGCTGGAAGCAATAGAAACCAAGAATCTGGAAGGGTTGGTGCTGGTTAGAGTAAAGGGAGCATGGGTGTTGGGTAGAGGGTGCTCCAGGAAATAGGGGTGCTAGCAATGGGAGGGAGCAAAGGGACACATTTCTGGCAGGAGCTCTTGGGAATCAGGACCAAGGGACAACTGAGATAATGTGATGAGGGTTGGGGAGTAGATAATTTGGGAGAACTGGTAGTGTGAAGGGATGTGGGCCATGGGAGGAGAGGAGAAAACCCAAGGAGAGATTTTTCCTTGGGTCCCTGGAGGTGTGGAAGGGTGAGAGCAGTTAGAGGAAGGACCATGGGGGTCATAGTGATTGGCAGGGCTAGCTGCCTCTCTGTGCCCTTCCTCATCTCTCTGAGTGTCCCCCATCAGCTCTCAGGCCTTTCTCTCTCCTGCAGTGTCTGTGGCCCTCTCTCTCTGTCAGTATGAAGCAGTTCTAGGGGGAATTCCCCTCTGACTGGAGTCTTCCCTTTCTGTGACATGGAGTTACCTGCTCTGGGTTTTAAGAGCCCTTTTGATCATGAGTGTCTGGCTGTGTATGTTCCTAGTAGACATGGGCACAGTTAATTACCTCAGAAGAAGAGTGCCCTGAACCTTTGAGCACCTGGGGAGCTGGCCTCAGGATTTTACTGCTTTAAAATGGGCTGGGGTTAAAGTAACAGAATTTTTTTGTGTGTGTGACAAAAGCCCCACGAATTCATCTGATCTCACTTGTCTTCTTTCCCCTTAGCAGGATTTCCAGTTTCTAAACTTGATGTCATCTCCCAGCTGGAAAAAGGGGAAGAATTGTTTTCCACAGGTCTCCAGGACTCAGAGGAAAGAAAGCTCCTGAGAGGTAGGTATACAGGTGAGTGATCATTAAACCAACTCAGTGCCTGAAGAAAATAGCTGGAGTTCCCAGCAAAGGCCTTGTGAGCTCTCTGTGTTCAGGATCGTTCCCAGCAGGTGTCATATCCTCAGGGCAGATACTGCTCACAGCTTCCTACCCATCCTGACTAACTTCTGGCAGTACCTCCTTCCCCAAATTTCCTTCTCCTAGAGTGTTTGGATGGGAACTGCATGCAGAATTGATCCCCTCCTCTCTCCCCTTTAAGAAAGAGTTTGGTGAAATTCAGTCCCTGATTTTTTTCCATTTCCAGCTGTTCTTTTGGTCTTTTCCATTCCTGTTTCTGAGATTTTTTCTTTCTCTGTCCTAGCAGGTGATGGGATGGTGATAGAGACCATGGAGCAGAATCCTCAGCAGGAAGATGATGAAATGGAACCACAAGAGTCTTTATTGCAAAGATGCAAAGGGAGAGTGTCTAGGACTTGTGAGCAGGGAAAAGCCTGTGAGAGTCAGCACAGGCCAGAGAAGCGGCAGGGAAACCAGCCAGTGCAGAAAGCTGGAAAATCTGTTAATTATCAGGGAACTCACAAAGGCCACAAGGAAACCATGGCCCAGCAGAGAATCCCCATGGGAGAGAGAAGTAACACATGTGTTGAGTGTGGGAAAAACTTCAGTAGGCGCTCGTGCCTTGTTAAACATGAGAGAATCCACACAGGAGAGAAACCCTATGAATGCTGTGAGTGTGGGAAAACCTTCACTGAGCACTCAAGCCTTATTAAACATCAGAGGATCCACACAGGGGAGAAACCCTATGAATGCTCTGAGTGTGGGAAAACTTTCTCTCGGAGCTCAGCCCTTATTGACCATCAGAGGATCCATACCAGGGAGAAACCCTATGAATGCTGTGAGTGTGGGAAAACCTTCTCTCAGAGATCAACCCTTACTAACCATCAGAGGATCCACACAGGGGAGAAACCCTATGAATGCTGTGAGTGTGGGAAAACCTTCGCTCGGAGCTCAGCCTTTATTAACCATCAGAGGATCCATACAGGGGAGAAACCCTATGAATGCTGTGAGTGTGGGAAAACCTTCACTTGGAGCTCAGCCCTCGTTAACCATCAGAGGATCCACACAGGGGAGAAACCCTATGAATGCAGAGAGTGTGGGAAAAATTTCACTGAGCGCTCAACCCTTATTAACCATCAGAGGATCCATACAGGGGAAAGGCCCTATGAATGCAGAGAGTGCGGGAAAACCTTCCCTCAGAGCTCAGCTCTTATTAGCCATCAGAGGATCCACACTGGGGACAAACCATATGAATGCTGTGAGTGCAGGAAAACATTCCTTCGGCACTCACACCTTATTAGACATCAGATGATCCACACAGGTGAGAAACCCTATGAATGCTGTGAGTGTGGGCAAACCTTCACTCAGAACTCAAATCTTATTACACATCAGAGGATCCACACGGGGGAGAAACCTTATGAATGCTGTGAGTGTGGAAAAATATTCACTTGGAGCTCACACCTTATTAGACATCAGAGGACCCACACAGGTGAGAAACCCTATGAATGCTGTGAGTGTGGGAAAACGTTCCCTCAGCACTCACACCTTGTTAGACATCAGAGGATCCACACAGGTGAGAAACCCTATGAATGCTGTGAGTGTGGGAAAAACTTCCCTCAGCTCTCACACCTTATTCGACATCAGAGGATCCACACAGGTGAGAAACCCTATGAATGCTGTGAGTGTGGGAAAACCTTTGCTCGGAACTCACACCTTATTAGACATCAGAGGATCCACGCAGGAGGGAGATCCTATGAATGCTCCAAGTGTCGGAAATACTTCCATCAGAGCTCAGCCTTTATTTATCATCAGAGAAGCTGCAAGGGAGATAGAATCATAGAATATCAGGGTTGGAAGGGACCTCAAGAGGTCATCTAGTCCAACCCCCTGCTCAAAGCAGGACCAATCCCCAATTAAATCATTCCAGCCAGGGCTTTGTCAAGCCTGACCTTAAAAACTTCTAAGGAAGGAGATTCTACCACCTCCTTAGGTAACGCATTCCAGTGTTTCACCACCCTCCTAGTGAAAAAGTTTTTCCTAATATCCAACCTAAACCTCCCCCACTGCAACTTGAGACCATTACTCCTTGTCCTGTCCTCTTCTACCACTGAGAATAGTCTAGAACCATCCTCTCTGGAACCACCTCTCAGGTAGTTGAGAATCAAAACCTTGTCTAGAGCTGAGGGAAGTTTTTGTTTTCCTTTTGCTAGTTCCCACTTAGTGAGTTTAAAGGAAGCTTTGTGCCCCCATGGTCTTTCAGTTCCCCCAGCTGAGTTATCTGCTTTTCCCATTTGTAGCTCACCCTCCCTTGCGGGGGAGGAATCCCACAGCCTTTTTCAGCAACTCATTTGTCCTGTGTGATGGAGGTGTGTGTCCCTCCAACCGGAATCTCAATCAATCCCAGGTGGGGGAACCAGGAGTGACCTCAACTAAGTACATGGAGGTTAAATCTATGTGGGCCTTGACTCAACTAGGATTTTCCATGGAGTTAGCTACCTTCAATTAGTTATCCTAATGTAAAAACACAAGTATTTTTTCAATTGAAAAATACCCCATATATGGTGGCCAGGATAATTTAGCAAATTTCCTCAACACTTGGCATAACCTCCATCACTTTTCCTAGTCTAAACACATTTGGAGCATCACATTTAAACTTTTCCTCCCATGGCAAATAAATTGTTAGTCACCAGGTTCCCACACTAGGGACAGATTGTTTCATTCCCAGTTGTTCTCACATTACACTGGGTTCTGCTGAACATTTTTCTACCAGTTAAATATAACAAAGAGAAGGAGCAGGATTAGGGATGGGGGGCAAAAATTTCAACCTCTGTGACACCTGAAGAAGTGAGTTAGAGGGATTCCCACCTTCCGAATTACCCCAGCAATGTTTGAGCCAAATAGAATTTATCTTCTCCATTGTCTACACCTCCACCCGTCATTGTGTCTTATGATTCAGTGTTCTCAGTCTTCTGCTTGGGAATCACATTTTGTTTTCTTTGATCATAAAACAGTATTTTTGAAACTGAGATGACAGTGTCACAGACCTGCAAGGGGAATTTGAATGGATCTCAAACACAGCATGATCACTGGGAGTTCAAATCCTGGTTTCCAACTGTTGGGAAAGCCTCTTCTAGGATTTTTCCTACTGAGATGAGATTGTTTGCAGATGGAGAGGTTAAATTTGCTTTGTTTAATTTTCCATTATGATGATGCTAGAACTTTTGAAAATAATAAAACTCAAGCAGTCAAGTGATTAAAAAAATTAATCACAATATTAAAAAAATTAATCAATTGTGCAATTAGTTGCACTGTTAAAGAATAATAGAATACCATTTATTTAAATATTTTTGGATGTTTTCTACATTTTCAAATATATTGATTTCAATTACCACACAGAATGCAAAATGTACAGTGCTCACTTTATATTATAATTTTTATTACAATTATTTACACAGTAGAATACAAAATAAATTGTATTTTTCAATTCACCTAATACAAATAATGTAGTGCAATCTCTTTGTCATGAGAGTTGAACTTACAAATGTAAAATTATATACAAAAACAAAAATAAAACAGTATTCAAAACAACCCTCAAAAATAAAACAGTATAAAACTTAAGAACCAAGTCCTACTTCTCAGACCTACTTCTTGTTCAGTCAATCGCTCAGACAAACAAGTTTGTTTACATTTGCAGGAGATAATACTGCCTGCTTCTTGTTTACAATGTCACCTGAAAGTGTGGGAGTAAATTTATATTTTTAGTATATAAATTTGTATATAATCTGATATGTGCATGGCACTGTTGTAGCTGGCATTGCAAGATATTTATGTGCTAGATTCATATGTCCCTTCATACTTCAACCACCCTTCCAGAGGACATGCTTCCATGCTGATAACGGGTTCTGCTTGATAACAATCCAAAGCAGTGCAGACCAACGCATATTCATTTTCATAATCTGAATCAAATGCCACCAGCAGAAGGTTGATTTTCTTTTTTGGTGGTTCAGTTCTGTAGTTTCTGCATTGAAGTGTTGCTTTTCTAACACTTCTGAAAGCATGCTGCACACCTCATCCCTCTCAGATTTTGGAAGGCACTTCAGATTCTTAAACCTTAGAATCATAGAATATCAGGGTTGGAAGGGACCTCAGGAGGTCATCTAGTCCAACCCCCTGCTCAAAGCAGGGCTAATCCCCAACTAAATCATCCCAGCCAGGGCTTTGTCAAGCCTGACCTTAAAAACCTCTAAGGAAGGAGATTCCACCACCTCCCTAGGTAACCCATTCCAGTGCTTCTTCACCCTTCTAGTGAAAACGTTTTTTCCTAAACCTCCCCCACTGCAACTTGAGACCATTACTCCTTGTTCTGTCATCTGCTACCACTGAGAACAGTCTAGATCCATTCTCTTTGGAACTCCCTTTCAGGTAGTTGAAAGCAGCTATCCAATCCCCCCTCATTCTTCTCTTCCACAGACTAAACAATCCCAGTTCCCTCAGCCTCTCCTCATAAGTCATGTGTTCCAGTCCCCTAATCATTTTTGTTGCCCTCCACTAGACTCTTTCAAATCTTTTCACATCCTTCTTGTAGTGTGGGGCCCAAAACTGGACACAGTACTCCAGATAAGGCCTCACCAATGTCAAATAGAGGGGAACGATCGCGTCCCTCAATCTGCTGGCAATGCCCCTACTTATACATCCCAAAATGCCATTGGCCTTCTTGGCAACAAGAGTACACTGTTGACTCATATCCAGCTTCTCGTCCACTGTAACCCCTAGGTCCTTTTCTGCAGAACTGCTGCCTAGCCATTCGGTCCCCTAGTCTGTAGCAGTGCATGGGATTCTTTCATCCTAAGTGCAGGACTCTGCACTTGTCCTTGTTGAACCTCATCAGATTTCTTTTGGCCCAATCCTCCAATTTGTCTAGGTCCCTCTGTATCCTATCCCTACCCTCCAGCGTATCTATCTCTCTTCCCAGTTTAGTGTCCTCTGCAAACTTGCTGAGGATGCAATCCACACCATCCTCCAGATCATTAATGAAGATATTGAACAAAACTGGCCCCAGGACTGACCCTTGGGGCACTCCGCTTGATACTGGCTGCCAACTAGACATGGAGCCACTGATCACTACCCGTTGAGCCTGATGATCTAGCCAGCTTTCTATCCACCTTACAGTCCATTCATCCAGGCCATGCTTCTTTAACTTGCTGGCAAGAATACTGTGGGAGACCGTGTCAAAGGCTTTGCTAAAGTCAAGGAACAACACGTCCACCGCTTTCCCCTCATCCACAGAGCCAGTTATCTCGTCATAGAAGGCAATTAGATTAGTCAGGCATGACTTGCCCTTGGTGAATCCATGCTGACTGTTCCTGATCACCTTCGTCTCCTCTAAATGCTTCAGAATTGATTCCTTGAGGTGCTCCATGATTTTTCCAGGGACTGAGGTGAGGCTGACTGGCCTGTGGTTCCCAGGATCCTCCTTCTTCCCTTTTTTAAAGATGGGCACTACTTAGCCTTTTTCCAGTCATCCAGGACCTCCCCCGATCGCCATGAGTTTTCAAAGATAATGGCCAATGGCTCTGCAATCACATCCGCCAACTCCTTTAGCACTCTCGGATGCAGCACATCTGGCCCCATGGAGTTGTGCTTGTCCAGCTTTTCTAAATAGTCCTGAACCACTTCTTTCTCCACAGAGGGCTGGTCACCTCCTCCCCATGCTGTGCTGCCCAGTGCACTAGTCTGGGAGCTGACCTTGTTCGTGACAGAGGCAAAAAAAGCAATGAGTACATTAGCTTTTTCCACATCCTCTGTCACTAGGTTGCCTCCCTCATTCAGTAAGGGGCCCACACTTTCCTTGACTTTCTTCTTGTTGCTAACATAGCTGAAGAAACCCTTCTTGTTACTCTTAATGTCTCTTGCTTGCTGCAACTCCAGGTGTGATTTGGCCTTCCTGATTTCTCTCTTGCATGCCTGAGCTTTATTTTTATACTCCTCCCTGGTCACTTGTCCAATCTTCCACATCTTGTAAGCTTCTTTTTTGTGTTTAAGATCAGCAAGGATATCACTGTTAAGTCAAGCTGGTCGCCTGCCATATTTACTATTCTTTCTACACAGCGGGATGGTTTGTCCCTGTAACCTCAATAAGGATTCTTTAAAATACAGCCAGCTCTCCTGAACTCCTTTCCCCCTCATGTTATTCTCCCAGGGGATCCTGCCCATCAGTTCCCAGAGGGAGTCAAAGTCTGCTTTTCTGAAGTCCAGGGTCTGTATTCTGCTGCTCTCCTTTCTTCCTTGTGTCAGGATCCTGAACTCGACCGTCTCATGGTCACTGCCTCCCAGGTTCCCATCCACTTTTGCTTCCCCTACTAATTCTTCCCGGTTTGTGAGCAGCAGGTCAAGAAGAGCTCTGCCCGTAGTTGGTTCCTCCAGCACTTGCACCAGGAAATTGTCCCCTACACTTTCCAAAAACTTCCTGGATTGTCTGTGCACTGCTGTGTTGCTCTCCCAGCAGATATCAGGGTGATTGAAGTCTCCCATGAGAACCAGGGCCTGCTATCTAGTAACTTCCATTAGTTGCCGGAAGAAAGCCTCATCCACCTTATCCCCCTGGTCCGGTGGTCTATAGCAGACTCCCACTATGACATCACCCTTGTTGCTCACACTTCTAAACTTAATCCAGAGACTCTCAGGTTTTTCTGCAGTTTCATACTGGAGCTCTGAGCAGTCATACTGCTCTCTTACATACAATGCAACTCCCCCACCTTTTCTGCCCTGCTTGTCCTTCCTGAACAGTTTATATCCATCCATGACAGTACTCTAGTCATGTGAGTTATTCCACCAAGTCTCTGTTATTCCAATCACATCATAATTCCTTGACTGTGCCAGGATGTCCAGTTCTCCCTGCTTGTTTCCCAGACTTCTTGCATTTGTGTATAGGCACTTGAGATAACTTGCTGATCGTCCCTCTTTCTCAGTATGAGGCAGGAGCCCTCCCCTCTCGTGCTCTCCTACTTGTGCTTCCTCCCAGTATCCCACTTCCCCACTTACCTCAGGGCTTTGGTCTCCTTCCCCCGGTGAACCTAGTTTAAAGCCCTCCTCACTAGGTTAGCCAGCCTGCTTGTGAAGATGCTCTTCCCTCTCTTGGTTAGATGGAGCCCGTCTCTGCCTAGCACTCCTCCTTCTTGGAACACCATCCCATGGTCAAAGAATCCAAAGCCTTCTCTCTGACACCACCTGCGTAGCCATTTGTTGACTTCCACGATTCGACAGTCTCTACCCAGGCCTTTTCCTTGCACGGGGAGGATGGACGAGAACACCACTTGTGCCTCAAACTCCTTTATCCTTCTTCCCAGAGCCACGTAGTCTGCAGTGATCCGCTCAAGGTCATTCTTGGCAGTATCATTGGTGCCCATGTGGAGAAGCAGAAAGGGGTAGCCATCCAAGGGCTTGATGAGTCTTGGCAGTCTCTCCATCACATCATGAATCCTAGCTCCTGGCAAGCAGCAGACTTCTCAGTTTTCCCAGTTGGGGTGGCAGATAGATGACTCGGTCCCCCTGAGGAGAGAGTCCCTGACCACCACCACCCACCTCCTTCTCTTGGGACCGGTGGTCATGGAACCCCCATCCCTAGGACAGTGTATCTCATGCCTTCCAATTGGCAAAGTCTCCAGTTCCCTTCCCTCAGATGTATCATCTAGTCCACTCTCCGCATTAGTACCTGTGGCGAGAACATGAAAACGGTTGCTTACCTGTATTTTCATTGCTGGTACATGGATGCTCCCCTTTCTTCTTCTGGAGGTCACATGCTGCCAAATTTCTTCACTGTCCTTCTGTCCCCACTGCGCAGCCTGCTCTGAATCTTCAGAATGTTGTGTCTATAGAAGCATATCCTGATTTTTGTCCAGGAAATCTTCAGTTTCTCTTATGCAACGCAGGGTCGATACTTGTTTCTCCAGACATTGAACCTTCTCTTCCAATATGGAGACCAGCTTGCACTTTGTACAGACAAAGTCACTTCTGTCCTGTGGAAGAAAGACAAACATGGCACATCCTGTGCAGGTCACAACAGCTGAACGCTCACCATCCACATTACCTTCCTTCTACGAGCTTCCTCAGGAGTTGTAGTAACTACTCAGAGAAGCCTGCACGATGTAAGCCTCAGTGGGCTCTCCCCAGGCAAACTCCCTCTGTTAGCCTCTCTGCTGTTTGCCACTCAGCTGGTTCGCAGCTGACTGGCTTTTTATAACAGTCAGGCCCACTCAAGGCTCACCTGGAACAAAGCACTCCTGTCATAAATATAAAGGGAAGGGTAAACCCCTTTAAAATCCCTCCTGGCCAGAGAAAAAAATCCTCTCACCTGTAAAGGGTTAAGAAGCTAAAGGTAACCTCACTGGCACCTGACCAAAATGACCAATGAGGAGACAAGATACTTTCAAAAGCTGGGAGGAGGGAGAGAAACAAAGGGTCTGTGTGTCTGTCTATATTCTGTCTTTGCCAGGGATAGACCAGGAATG